ACACTGGTCGAAAATTGATAAAACATACACATATCGGGTACCCGATATGTGTATGTTTTATCAATTTTCGACCAGTGCTAGCTTGGGGATACTACTTTCATCTAGAATTTTTCCGGAGATGTGCTTGTAAGAATATGTAAGGTGAAAGTTTCGAGACATGAGATATTGGTAGACATGACTCATATAAAGACAAGTTTTCACGTGGCCAAAACACCCACCTTTTCTCATCTATATACACTCATAAGTCGCTCAAAATTTATATGTCCAACTCGAATTGGAATTACATCCGAAATGGTGCAAAGATAGGTATTGTTTTTATTATAGCAGAATCATTATGGAAAGGCGAGTTTCATGATTGGCAAAAAACATGATAGACATATAAAAAAATACCAATGGGGGTTTATGTGAAAAATTAGGTTGCACAAAAACATGTGGATATGAACACGATTGATATTATGAGTGTTAAAACATGTAGATCTAACCTGTAAAGCATTTTATTATGTCGTAATCAATTCTACGATCGACTTTGCATACCACGTTATTTCAAATACATGCTTCGATCACGGGTAATAGAAATGTATGACGTAATACATAAAAATCAGATAATTCAGATCGTGATCACAATACATGGACGCGATTAATTTAGATATCATAGATATCAGCTCCGCTATATACTATATTTTTTCTTATTTCGCTTTTTTTTAGATTTAGAATAGACTGGACCAAGGTTTTTAGATTTGTGTATCTTTTTTACTGGCATGTCTTTGGAGATGCAAGTAAGAATTTTCACATCATCAGATAAATCAGTATTACCAGTCAACCTTTTGGGCTAATTTTATTTTCCAAAAGGTAATTTACAACTAGCAACTCGTAAACGGTTACTTTAGTTTATAAATTGAAAAGGATAATAGAAGAAGAATTAAAGAAATATTAAAGTTGAATACTAAAAAACTAATTAAAGGACTTAAGATTTAAGATTACGGAATTTAACTATTGATTAATGATTAAATTTTAAAGATCGATTTAAGAAATTAAGACAAAGAATTAAATATATTTATCAATGGTTTATAAAATAGTAATAGAAATTTATGGGATCAGAATTTATATTCGAAGAATATAAATTAATAAAAAGAACAGAGTTTTAAATATAAAAGGTATAAGTTTATTATGAAGAAAATCAATAATCCAATTACTTTAGGATTACAAAAATATTACAGTTGAGATTACTTTCTAAATTTCACTATTTAGAATTATTCAAATCTTATTCGAAACTATCTGAATCTCTCTTGGGGTGAAGAGAAAATGTACCCTTTTTATAATATTTGATTTAGCCAGTAAGTTAGTTAGTAAGTTGGCCAAAATCTTGATCAGTAATTGTGCCAATCAGTTGGCCACTAAGTTGGTCAATCAGTTGGCCACTAAATTGGTCAATAAATTGGCCAGTAACTGGGTCACTATGATTTACATTATTGATTTACATAATTCGTATTACATTATAAATAATACTAATAACTAAATATACTAAAATAACTATACTAATAAAATAAATACAAATAAGAATAAAATAAAATAAAATAATAAGAAATTATAAAAATAGAAGATACCCATGATAACATCGGTTTCAGAATCTGAGCTAATGCTACTATATTTATTTATAGATTTATATATATCTCCATTGAATATATATGAAAATTGATTATTAATAAGTCTTATCCTCTACCATAACTTGTTTATTTCTCTCTTCAGAATTGTAATGGAATCTCTGAGATATTTAAATTCATTTTCTACTTTTTGTTTCATGAATTTATTAAAATTTTCTGTCATTTTTATATATTTGATCAAAAAAAGAATTATCTAAATACATATGCATTAACTTGGGTAAAGGATTTTGTTACCCCTTATAATGAGTAAAAGAAAAAATTCAAATCAAAAAATATTTATCATTTAGATATTACGTATTCTCACTTTGCGAATTTTTCGTTTAGTAAGACGTTTCTTAATGGATATTATCCTATATGTATCTATAACTTCTGATTGCAATCTAGACAAAGAAGAATCACTTAAGTCTGAAGTATCCGACAGAACTCATGGTAACTTTCCTTTATTTATACAACTTAGTTCATATTCAATAATACGAAGTTTATCAAAAACTCCATACTCTATATCATTTTCTATAGAATGAACTGACTTCCAAATATTATTGAGGTGTGTTTTTAATGAAAACTTTTCACATCCATTACCTAAATCTACTTTAAGATATTTTTTATTCATGCTAACTCTTCTATATATTAGAAATACAGGAGGTACGTTACCATGATACCTCTTTCATTGCTTATTATCTTTGCTTCTGTGTAAGAGTTTTGGTTGACTCTTAGTGGTGGGGTAAAGTATAAGGTAAGGTAAGTGAATATTCGAACAATAATAAACACACGTCAACGACACAAGGTAAAACACTTGAAAAATACAAGCAAAGAATAACACTCTAAAAGAGCAAATTAATAGTATATTAAATTAATTAT